TTATATCCTTGGAACTCAGCAGGCTCAAGAGGTGCTCGAATAGATATATGGTGCATGGTATGAATGTATGCACAATGATGGTATGAATGGATGCATGGGGTATGGTATGAATGGTTGGATGCATGGGGGATGGTATGAATGGATGCATGGGGCCTGGTGTGACTGGATGGATGCATGGGGCCTGGTGTGACTGGATGGCTGCATGGGGCATGGTGTGACTGGATGGATGCATGGTGCATGACTGGATACATGGTGCAGGGTATGAATGGATGCCCCACTCTCCACCTCATCTCCTTCCCTGGAGGGATTCTAACAGGCACTCTGTTCCTTGCCTTCTCCCAGCCTTCTCACTACACAGAGAATGGGCACTTTTAGAGCTGTCAAATAGTCTGCCAAGTCTCCCCAAGCCTGCCAGAGATGCCCTTCCCCTAGGAAGTCCTCTGAAGGCCAGTGAATCTGCAACTTCTCGAGTCACGGTGGGCAAAATTCCTCTGCTGGCCTCTCAAATCCATACTGAGGCTTATTTAGCAGGAACGGGATCTGGGCAGGAACAGGTTCTGGCCATGAAGGTGTGCAGTGCAGGCTGGGTCTGGGGCCTGGGCTCTGCCTGGGGAGGACGAAGGATACTGAGTGGTGAGCATGTGGCCCAATCCAGACCGCTCCCCACAGCTCCTCCCCGCGTCTCTTTGGCTGCTCCTTTCCTCAGTGCTCTTCATACTGCACGTGCTAGGGCTGACATAACTTGTCTAGATCTTCAGGTGCAACTCACAGCTCCCTGCCACTGAGAGCAGAGCTCCTCCTGGACTATTCACTTGTGTTTGTTCTCATGGACCTAGCACAGTGCACACAGTACTCCAAATGCTTGGCGACTGAATGAGAACATGGCCAGTCCCATCTGCCTGGAAGAGAGCTGAGGCTTAAATGTCCATGGAGAAAGAGGGACAAATATCAGGTCAAATGAATACTTGAGTGAGGTGGAGTTAGGTCCCCTGCAGTGGGATGGTTTAGTTCGTGCCCTGTAGGAAGGACAGGAGAAGCCAGAGATGGAGTGTAGAACGAGTCTCCTTGCCAAGGATGCAGCCCCTGCAAGAAGCCTGGGCTCTGAAGGGTATGGAAGCCTGTGTGTCACTGGGTGCTGCAGGACAGGATGGGTTCCTGGGGAGGTGGGAAGAATGGGCTGTGGCCCAAGTCCTTGGAACTATGTTTTAGTTCTCCTGCTTGTTGGAGCAGACTCCCCTACTTCCCACCTGCATCCTGCCTCCACAGAGCAGACTCACACTCAGAAACGGAAGGCCAAGCGGGGAACACGCTCAACCCCCAAAGCTGGATGGAGGACCGGTGAGGCACCTGGGAGTAGGGGTACTGGTCCGAGAACAAAAATGTCTCCCACTTTGCAACACGAGGCTGGATGATTAGCACACGAGAGAACCATGAGCCAGCAGTTTGCAACAAAGCTGGCAGGCAGCTGGAATGTTGATCCGGAGGATCATGTTCCAGAAGGGAGACACCCCTCCCCAGGCCAGGCTGGCGCTCAGTACGGCTATTTCAGGCTGGGGGGGATTAAGGTTGAACCATGACGAGCACGCGTGTGCGCGCGCACACGACCCCAGCGCTCCTTTTCTCTCCCCTCTCCCATGCTGACTCCTGTGCCATGAACCCGAGACTCGGGTGCACTGAAAGTTCCTGGTCCCTGCTCCTTTGCAGCCCTGAGTCTCTCCCTCCTGGGAGAGCTGTGCAAGCCCCCACCCCTACCAGACCAGGGAATGTGGGTGGGGACAGCACATGGCAAGCCCCTACTGACCCCTCCTCCATGTGCCCCAGACTGTACAGCGCCACATGTCTTCCTGTGACTTTCTCCATCTCACCATTGCTGCCATTCCTCCCATTTCTCTTTCTGCCTCTTTCTCGGGATCATCTCTCTTTCTCTTGGTTTGTGTGTCTCCCTGTCTCTTTTCCTCCAATTCTTCAGCCTGTCTCTACTTCACTCCTGAATGTTGGTCCTCTATATTTGTCTTTGTTTCCTTTCATCTTTCCTCCTATATTTCTCCTTTGGCTTCTACTTGCCCTCCCCCTGCAACTCCCCCCCCCCCGCATTGCATTAGTTCTTCCAACAAATACTTACTGGCCATTTGTCATGCACAAGATTTTGTGGCAGCCACTGCTGGGATTATAAGAGAAAGTGCAACAAGACTCTGAAGGAATGAGTCTATTTCAAGAGAATATCAGCAAGCGGAAGCCTGGGCAGCTGTTTCTAAACCCGTAATAAAGTGGTTTGGTGATTTCAAATATATAAAATATTGTATCTACTTAAAAAGTGTTTGTTATTTAGGAGGGGAAAATGAGGCTTACACGAGCGTCTATAGTATAGAGCCACATGTGATGTTTGCAGTACCGATGGCTCAGCGTGCTCCAGCGGTGTGCAGAGCAGGAAAAGTCCATTCTGGAAGGGGATGGGCAAGCCTGCGGGAGAGCAGCCTTGCAGTGCGCTCGGGGAAGGGGCTGGGCTGGGTCCTGCGGCGGGGCTGGTTGGTGGAAGGTGTCCCGCACACACAGGCACGGATGAATGGTTGCAGCACCTGGAGCAGTCCGATTGGCCCAGCAAGGGTGGCTGAGGCCAGACCTAGAGTGTCACCTGGAGTGTCAGGTGAAGGGATGTGAAAGCTGGGGCCGGGGTGGGGGAGTTCTGAGCAGGAGAATGACATGAACAGAGCTGTAGGAAGATGGATCCAGCCCCAGAAGTTTAAGAGATGCGTGCGTATGTAGGCGGGCTGAGGAATGGCGGGAGAAGACAGGAGGGCAGGTTAAGAAGCTCCTGCAGCAGAGGACGCCTAATTGCCTTATTTACCCGCTGACGCCTGAACGAAGTAGGTGGTGGCCGTCAGACAAAATGAAGGGGTAAGTTTGAGTGATACCAAAGAGGAATAACTCACTAAGTGTCTTTTCCTCTCTCACCTGGTGTCTGCCCCACCCTCCACCCCCAATTGTCAGATTCCTCTTTCCCAGCAGATAAGAGGCCTTTCTGCAGTGGCTACCCCGAGGGCCAGCTTCACCCCTAGGCAGAGATCTGATGTTTCCAGTGATAGGAATCAAAGTTCTTTCCTCTTTCCTCAAAGCTCCAAGGCACTGAGCACTGGGATCCCCCAGGAGGACTGATTTTTGCAGGCAGTGTCTCTGAGACCTAAACCATCCAGAGCCCTTGTCATCCTTCTCTGCAAATGGCTCTCCTCCAGTGACCCTCCTTCCTGCAGCCTAACGTGTCAGCCTCAGACCCTCAGGCCTGAGGGGGCTGCTGTGGCTGCTAAGCCCTCTGCCCCTCCCTCCTTCCCCCACTACCCCGGTACACCCCCAGCTCCAGAGCTCGAGGTAGAGTTGGAGGGCCCAGGAGGGGAAAGCCAGTGCCTCTCCAAGGACCTGATTATTTCCAAAGACTTGTGCTAATTTTCTGATATGATCCTCACATCTCTGTGAGGCACTAAATCCTCATTACTTTTCCTGACCGATGCATTCTAATTAGATCAACACTTAAAAAAAATTCACAATAGCCACAGGATGGCTTTCCATCTCATTAACTCCTCACTTATTATTTTCATGAAAATTACTGATAAAAATGTGCATCTCCATTTGGTGAGGCCTCACAGCCTCCTCAGCTCCTATCTTGCATCTCTCCCATCACCGGGACTGCGCAGCGTCGCCATGGTAACCCACAATAATAGAAACTAATAAATTACAAACGAGATGCTCGTTGAGCAATTATTGTCCTCTTTTATGCAAGTTTCTTGCTAATTTTGATCATAAGGGAAAGTACAATAAGACTCTGAAGGAATGAGTCTATTTCAAGAGAATATCAGCAAGCAGAAGCCTGGGCGGCTGTTTTTAGATCTGTAATAAAGTGATTTGGTGATTTCAAGCAATAGGAAGAGGAAATAAACTTCTTGCCCTGTGTTCCGGGCGGTCCTCACTAGCAAGGCTCACAAAGATCCCATTGCGTGGGTTGGATGTGACATGCAGTGTGTCTTCAGAGCTTGTTGCCAAGATGTGCAAGGCCCGGCTGGCCTTCCAGAGGTCAGCCTGCCCTGTCCCCCGTCTCTACCAACCTGGACAGAGGGAGTACCTTTGTGGTTTCTTAGAGGCCTAGGGATAAAAATGGTGTAGCCTTTCTTAGCTACTCTTTCCAGCGCCTCTTGCTACTCATTCATAGAAAATTTACCAGCGGCCCCACACTTCATCGTCTAATGAGAAGAGGGTGCAGGAAGCCTCCTGAGGGCCCCTCTGTGTGTCTGTCCTGGACCTGGGAGCTCAGCGGGAGAGGAGCAGTGGGGCGAGGCTGTGGCGTACGCAGGTACCAGCGAGCTGCGTGGGAGGTGTGGCCAGGCAGCTTGCTTAGACTGTAGGTTTGGGGAAAACAGAGCCCATTCTTGCTCAGAGCTCACAGTCATCGTTTCCGCATTTCCATGTTCCCAGGATGAAGGTGGCAGGTGAATCTTGGAAGGGGGGGTGGTTTGAGGTGACATTTACAGTGGCCCTGAGCCTTAGGGGGACAGAGGTGCCAGGGCAGGGTGAGTGACCACAGCATGGCCAGGAAGAAGCAGTTCCAGGGGAAGCTTTCCTCTAACTGTCCTTGCCAGGGACACGGAGAGCTCAGCTCTGGAGAAGGCTGTGGTCGGGATGTTGGGCTGGTCCCAGTCCATCCTCTGCATAGCTGGCCGTCTCCTTAACTCCTGTGCTCACTTTTTGGTATATGTTGGGCCAGAAAGCCCAGAATAACTGTGGACATTGTCCCTCTCAGATCTGGTCATTTCTAGGGAATACTGATGCCCTGGCACGGTGGAGTCCGTGTTAAAAGGGGACTGTGCTGCCTGCGGCATGTCCACAGAAGCGGATGAGAGGAGGCCTTTGTGCTGGAAGGATCCAGCGAGTCTCATCTGATCCACCAGCAGACCTGCCTACACATGTGGCTCAGGAGCCTGGCTTAAGAGATAGGACCCAGCTCTGCGTATTACCTGTGAGTGAAGGTTTATGGAGGGCTGGTTGGGGGAGTAGGGCCCCCCGAGGTCATTCCTGAGCAGGTTATCACTGTGCATCTTGGTTTTGAGGCAGGTGATGTAACGGTTGCAAAAGTCCTTGCAGAGTTCATTGACTTTCTCCAACTCCAGCAGGTGGATTCTCAGGACCTGGATTGCCTTCACCATCTGGGGAGAGGGAGGAGAGGTGAGCCCAGGTGTTGGTATCCTGTTCCCTTTGCTGCCTGGACCCCCAGCCCCAACCACACTGGGGAGGGGAGCCATCCCCCGCCCGGGCACTCGCTTTCTACACTTGATCTTAGCCCAAGGCTGAGAAGGCTTGTGCTTCCTCATCCACATGACTGAAATTCTAGTTACGGCTCTGTGCTGATTACTCTCTTGCCTTGAGCCCTCTGTTATCACAGCTGTTCCTGAGGCAGTTGTGGTATTCTGAGAACAGCACTGGCCTTAGAGACAGAAGGCCAGGTCCAAGTCCCGGGCCTGCCATTTACTATCTGTGTGACCTTGGGCAAGTTGCTTAAGCTCTCTGCGCCTTAGTGTCTGACAAATGGGGATCATTATGCTGTCCCTAACGACTTTACAGGTTCGCGGAGAGTATCGTATGAGGGGATGTGCGTGACAGTACGCCGTAAAGTGTGAAGTTCTGAACAAGCATAAGGAAGACTGAGATCAGAGTTTCTTGCAAGTGCCCCGAGAGGTCAGGAGCTGTCTATTCTTAAACACATATTCTGAGTGCTTCATGTGATCCAGGTTACCCTGCGGACAGTCCACGGATACTTGCTGACTGACCGAATAATCCAGCATGACTTAGCCGGGCACTAGATACCTCACTGTCTGTTGTGGCCTTTTCTGTGCCCTTTGGATAATTGTGCCTGTTGCCTCTTCAAATGGACATTCCTAACCTTTTCATGGCCAGAGGCTGTGTCGCAATCGAAGGTTTGCTCTTTATTGTTGTTGTCATAAAAAGAAAATACTAAGGAAGGTATGGAAAGCAGGGGGTGGAAAAAAACTGCCTTTGATCCAATCACCCTAAGAGAATGATCATTATTTTAACACAGGTTTTTGTTTGTTTGTTTGTTTGTTTTTGAGATAGGATATCATTCTATCCCCTAGGCTGGAGTGCAGTGGCAGGATCACAGCTCACTGCAGCCTCGAACTCCTGGGCTCAAGTGTTCCTCCCACCTCAGCCTCCCAAAGTGCTGTGATTACAGGCATGAGCCATCGCACCCAACCTAACACAGTTTCGATAACTTTGTGCATGCGATTTTGTTTCTGATTTTTTCCTCTTAGTTTAACAACTGTATTTTTCAAAGTGCTAGAATTGTTTTCTCTATTCTCTCTTTTAGACTGTGAGCTTTGAGAAGGCAGGGATGATGTCTAATCTGCTCACCAAGTTGTCTTCAGCCCCAGCACATGTGGATACCGAACACATATTTGTTGAAGGGGTGAAAGTTGTCAAGTATGTGTGTGTGTGTGTGTGTGTGTATGGAGAGAGAGAGAGAGAGAGTGTGTCTCACTCTGTTGCGCTGAGCAGAGTGTAGTGCCTAGCTCACAGCAACCTCAAACTCCTGGGTTCAAGCAATCCTCCTGCCTCAGCCTCCGGAGTAGCTGGGACTACAGGCATGCACCATGACGCCCAGCTGATTTTTCTATTTTTAGTAGAGACAGGGTCTCATTCTTGCTCAGGCTGGTCTCAGACTCCTGAGCTCAAGCAATCTTCCTGCCTTGGTCTCCTAGAGTCCTAGGATTACAGGCATGAGCCACGGCACCTGGCCCGAGTAAATATATTTTTAAATGTTGCATATTATTTCATGTGTATGGCATACTTAACCAGTTTCCTATGGTTGGCATTTAGATTACTTCCAATTTTTCAATTTTATAAAAAAATCTTACAGTGAATATTTTCTAAGCTTATAGCTTTTTTTTTTTTTTTTTTAATGTTTCTGCATTACTTCTTTAGGATGAATTCCCAAAAGTGATAGGTATGGACTTCTGTGGCCCATAATAAATATTGCTAAATTGCTTTTCAACTGGGGGTTGCTCAAATGGTGCTGGAATAATTAGACACCCATAAGTGAACAAATGAACTTTGATTTAAACCTCATACCCAATATAAAAATTAACTCAAAATGGATCAAAGACCTAAATGTAAGTCATAAAGCTATAAACATTTTAGAGAAAAAAATAGGAGAAAATCTTTAGGATCTAGGGTTATGCAAAGAGGTCTTAGAGTTGACAGCAAAGAATTGGATCTCATCAAAATTAAAAATATTGGCTCTTCAAAAGACCCTGTGAAGAGGTTGAAAAGGCTACAGATTAGGAGAGAATATTTGCAAATTACATATCTGACAAAAGACTTGTATCTAGAATATAGAAAGAACTTTCCAAATGAAACAGTAAAATGATAAGCAACCCAATTAGCACATGGGCACAAGACACGATTAGACATTTTACTGAAGAGAATATACAGATGGCAAGTAAGTGCATGAAAAGATATTCAGTGTCATTAGCCATTGGAGAAATGCAGATTAAAACCACAGTGAGGTGTCACTACACACCTATCAGCATGGTTAAAATAAAAAGCAGCGATAACACCAAATGCTGGCGAGGAACTAGAAACCAGATCACTCCTACATTGCTGGTGGGAATGAAAAATGGTACAGCCACTCTGGAAAACAGCATGACAGTTTCTTATAAAACTAAATATGTGCTTACCATATGACCCAGCAATTGCACTCTTGGGCATTTATCCCAGAGAAATAAAAACATATGTTCACACAAAAAGCTGTGTATAAATGTTCAAAGCAGCTTTACTTCTAATAGTCAAAAACTGGAAATAACCCAAAATACTTCAATGGGTGAATAGATAAAGAATGTGTGGTTCATCCGTATCCAGGAATACAACTCAGCAATAGAAAGGAACAAACTAGTGATATGCTCAACGACTTGGGTGATCTCAAGGGAATTGTGCTGAGAAAGAAAAGCCAGTCTCGAAGGGTTACATATTGTATGATGCCATTTATATAACATTCTTGAAATGACAAAATAGAAATAGAAAACATATTAGTGGTGGACAGGGGTGGAGCAGAGGAGAAAGGAACTATTCTGTACCGTGACTATAATAGGGTTTACATGGATCTGGACATGTGATAAAACTTCATAGAACTAAACACATGCATGCACACACACATAGCACACACAAGTGCATGTAAAACTGGTGACATCTGAATAAGGTTGGTGAATTGTTCCTAGTTGTGAAGTTGTGCTATGGTTGTGTATTAGTTAGCACAACTGCATGTGAATCTACAATTACATGAAAATAAAAATTTTAAAAAGGGAGGGCTTATTGCCTTTCCATATCCATTTGTGTTGACACAAGACATATATGGAAGTCTCTATTTAATCCTCCCAGTTTTGGGCTAGCATTTTGCTGCCCAGGGAAGAGTTCGGATGGTATAAAAAAGGGTTGAAAACAAGGAAGGAAATCTCGCCCAGAGAATTTTGACTGTGAGGTGTGTATCCAATGGCGTGGCTGGAAGCCAGTGTCACACTCTTCTCCGGGCCTCACTGGCATTTCAAGGGGGGAGCCCACATTCCCTGGGCTGGGCTTGTGGACTGCCTGATGGGCAGGGATTGTGCTCAGCTAATTAAGGGTTTTTGGAGTACTAAATTAGACTGAGTGTCACTCAAAGACAGAAACCAACAATTGTGTGTCTCCATGCAGGGCTCAGTCACAGGGTCTCACCCAAAGGAGTGCTATTCCGTGGGGCCGAGGCTGAGGGAGACTGAGCAATTCTAGGTGAAGAGGAGAATGGCGACTTTAGTATTTGGAACATTTGGACCAAAAACTGGAGTTAGGTGTTTAATAAAGATTTACTCTTGCTTAAATTTTTTACTTGATGTTGGCCAAGAAGTATATGTCTCTCAGAGTAATTAGCATAATATAAGGCACTTTACAGATACTCGTTGATGGATTGATAACACTACCCATACATTCCTTATTCCTACTGTGTCTCAGGCACTGTGTTAGGCCCATTCCATGCCTTGTCTTACTTATTCCACACAACCATCGCTGCACGGAGATACCACTGTTGTCTATATTTTACAGTTGAAGAAAATAAAGTCCAGAGATACTGAATTTTATTTGTTTGGAGTCACAGAGCTGGTAAGTGGTATGCAGCCTGGCTGCCTCACCCCTGAGCTTGTGTCACTTCACCCTCAATACAGACTCTCACACAGGACTTATGTAGAGAAAGGGGAGAAGATGGGAGTTTAAATGGTGCATGGTCTGGGGAAAATGTGGCTCAGTGATAGGAATTGTGGGGTTCTAGGAAAACCAATTAGCTTGTGGGACATTAAAGGTTAGGATTTCCAGAACCCTCCCTGGTAATGTGTCTTCGTTCAGCTGTTCTGATTTCCCATCCCTCGCTCCTGGCTTGGCCCCTACAGGCCAGATCACCGCACCACCTTGGGTGTCTGCTTCCTCATGTGCACAAATACAGGGTGGGACTGTCAGGTCCCTTCCATTTTCTGACTCTCTGAACATTACCAGGACTTCTGTTCTCATTTTGCTGATGGTGCTGGAATGGTGACCTGGGCCAGCTTCTAGGTGAGTGGACGGTCCAGACTCAATAGGACATAGGCTGCATCTTCTCTTCTGAGGCTCCCCTGGTTGTTGGGAGATGACCTTATTGCCGACGATAGTATGTCCTCTCAATCTGCTGATTAAGCAGCTCTTCCTTATATTCTACCAAAATCTCTCTGTCTTAATATAAAGTGCTTGCTCAGCAGCCTTCCGTAGGTACCAAGAACATCTAGTACCTCCATCAGCACAACTTCCCTTAATTTAATTGTATCCATTCAACAATATTGAGTCTTAATATTATGGCGTACACTGGACCAGGCATCTGACTTGGATAAGTTGTTCAATCAGCTTTCTTTCCTCCATACTAACGCAGTGGTAATTCCTTAAACCCTTCTTCTCCTTCTCTTCCGTCCCTCCCTTCCTTCTTTCCTTTCTCCTTCTTTTATTCTTTCTCTCAACTTTTGTTTCACATAATTCTGCATTTTAATCATTTACTGATTTATTTTAAAATCTTCTTGTGCAGTAATACACCCATATATATTCACACACATATACATGGAAAAGGGCACATACCATGTTTCCC